TTGTATTGTATTTTACAAAAATGTCAATCTGTCATGGAAAGGAAGTTTTTAAAAACCTTGCACTTCACCACAGAGAGCTGGAGAAACACTGCTCTAGGCCCCCTTTTCAGGAGATCTGGGCTCTTCCTACCTGGGCTCCATTGACTGCGTTCACTGGCTTTACCTTAAATAATAGTATAAAGAATGGTCATGGTTTGACCTTGTCTGCTGTAAAGGCCCTGAGAAGCAACCCTGCCCATAGGCACCTGCCCCAGGTCCCAAAATGAGAGAAGACAGTAGGACATGCTGAAGACTAGGTGCCTTTGAAGCCCAGGCTTAGAGGGAGGAAGGAAGCCTCTGGCCGTGGGATTTTGCACAGTGATAATAAGCATTGTTCCCATTTACTGAGCATTTACCAGGTGCTGGCATTGTGTGCAGCACTTTACTGAATTCTTTGCTAAAGCCCCACCATGACTCTGGGATATAGGCATCATTATGAAGAAGTCAAGGCAGCTTGCTCAAGGTCACACTAAGTGACAGAACCACCAGGTCCAAGCCGAGCTGTTTCTCTTCTAAAGCCCATGGTCTAGGACACTATACTCTGTGTTAGAATGGAACTTCATTCTCAGTTTCTGTTCAGCCTAAGAATTGCAGGGGAAGAGGAGTAAACGGTTCTGCCATGGTTTAAAAACCTCCACCAAGGACCATGAATGCCTCTCCTCTGGAGTGAACAAGCTGCTCTGCACCAGCGGCCTCAGGATTCCTGCAGAGGCAGTGCCCTGAGGGGCCAGGTGGAAGGAAGGCAGAGCCCCCAGGTGGAAACGCACAGGTGGGCCAGAGATGGGCATATACTGCACCTGTACAGCAAGGCAGAGGATCATTACCACCCATCCCTGCCACGCCTGGTGAGAACCAAACCTGGCTCCTGCATCTGGACGGGCTCACTGAGTAATGGGCAGGAGGATGAGGAACTGGATTTGCCTGTTGTAAAGGGAGTGGCTAAGAGCATGGGATTTGAGTCTTGTGTTGAAAATCCACTAATTAAGTATGTGTCCTTGGCAAAGTTCAAGGGCAAAGCTATTCAACCTCTCCGAGCCTCAGTTTCCTCGCCATAAAATGGGGTGCGTTCCGAGGCTTAGATGAGATGATGAGTGTGAAGCTCTCAGTCTGAGGGAAACCTGAACACAGCACATTGTTATCAGTCTTCCTTAGGCTCCTCTCATATGTACCCTTTCTTCACAGCAAAGCTGCCCCGAGATGACCAAATTCACATTCTCAAGCAGCACAGACGTAAAGAACTGGAAACGCGGCAAAAACAGTATCGGTAAGTTATGACATCAGAACAAGTTGGCCATGGGGCCGTGGTTTCTTCTGTCTTGGTGCATGGCATGAAAAATACCCTGACCACAGCTTATGGCCCATCACCACTTGTAAGTCACCAGGGCACCGGCTCCCTGTGGTGGCTCCACAATCCCCAAGCTTCTCCTTAGCTACTGCTCCAAGACAGATGGGGAATCGAGTTACGGAAAAAACTTGGGATCAGCCACATTGGCATGTAGGAGGAATGGAGCAGCCAGAGCTGGAGCCCACCTTAATGTTCTCCCACTTTCCATTGTAGGGATTACCCCTCAGTTGCTGTGTCTTCTTATAATAATTCAATAATCTAGAACAAAATTGACAAATCTTTGGCTAATAAAGAAAAAAAGAGAGAACCAAATTATTAAAATTTGAAATAAGAAAGAAAAAAGTCAATAGCAACCTCGCAGAAATTAAAATGACTAAAAAGAGAATACTATAAACTGTATGTCAACAAATTGGTTAAATTAAGTGAAAGAGACAAATGTCTAGAAAGACTACCAAACAACCAAAACTGACTCAGGAAGAAATAGATAATCTGAGCAAACCAATCACAAGCAAAGAGACTGAATTAGTAATTTAAAATTTTCCCACAGATAAGAGCCCATGCCCAGATGGCTTCACTGGTGAATTCTATCAAACATTTAAAGAATTAATACCAATATTGCATAAACTCTTCCAAAAAATAGAAGAGGAGGGAACACTTCTCAATTCATTGTATGACATGACCACCATACCAAAACTCGACAAAGATATCCCAAGAAAAGAGCACTATATCCCTTATGAATATACATGCAAACATTTTCAACAGAATACTAGCAAACCCCATCCAGTAGCATATAAAAGGATATGTATAATCCCAGGTACGCAAGTTTGGTTTAACATCCAAAAGTCAATTAATCTAATACACCATATTAATAAAGAACCAAAAAACACGTAATCATCTCAATAGACACAAGAAAGTATTTGACAAAATCCATCACCCTTTCATGATAAAAACACACAAAAAATAAGATACGAAGGGAAATTTCTCAACCTGATAAAGGACATCTATAAAAACTCATAGTTAATATCATACTTAATGGTGACAGACTGAATGTTTTCCCCCTAAGATCCAGGAACAAGATAAGGATGTTTATTTTTATCACTTCTGTTCAACGTTGTAGTAGAAGGTCTTGAAAGGTCAGTTAGGAAAGAAAAAGAAAAGAACCCACATTGGAATTCAATAAGTAAAACTATCACCATTCACAGATGATACAGTCTTATGTAGAGAAAATCCTAAGGAACTCACCAAAACAAAAACTATTAGAACTAAAAAACCAGCAAGGTTGCAGGAAACAAGATCAATATGCAAAAAATCAATTGTTCTTCTATACACCAGCAACCAAAAATCTGAAAATAAAAATAAGAAAAAAATTCCATTTACAATCGCATCAAAAGGAATAAATATTTATGAATAAAATTAACAAAAGTAGTTCAAGACTTGCCAATGAAAGTACAAAACACTGTTGAAAGTAATGAAGGAAGATCTAAATATGAGGAAGTTGCAAGACATCTTCCGTCGTGGATCGGAGGACTGA